GAAATCAAACATTTACCTAAACCACTGCTTTTGGTTCTTGGCATGTGGCCGGCACCACTCACTTTGGGCTGGATGAGCTCTGGGAATGCATAAAAACCTCCCGTTGCTCCCTCCCACTCCCCACCCCACCATGTATAGATAGATGGACAGGAAAATATTTACCAGCTCAGAAACATCCTCTTGTTTCAAAGCCTGAAACTTCCTCAGCCACATCATGTTCCTGCCAGAGTCTGAAAACGAACAGGTCTGGGAAGGCCCAGGGATGCGTGAGCCTTAGAGAATGGCATGCATGTATCTGCGTTGCTGATTTTTCAGGTGTTGCTCTGAGATGGAATTCAGAAAATTCTCAGGGAGTTTTGGTCCTCTTGATTTCTAATTTTTGTGATGGAGTTAGAGTCGCAGAAATATCATGAGTTGCTAATTTAAAAAATAATTTTCTTCTTTTTTTTGTATGAGCAATTCACACTGATTGTAGACATTTGGAAAAATATCAAAAGCCGTAATGCTGAAAATTACCCATAATTCTAGTATTCAGAGATAATCACTTACAAAACATTTTGTTGTATTTGCATGCATCTTTATATGCATAATTAAGATCATTGTGTATGAATTTTTATTTCTATTTTCCCCATTTAACATTTGAATATTTTTTCTTGCATTGAGAGCAGTACAGAGTAGGGGCTCGTCTTCGTTTCCTCTGGCTGCTGTAATAAATTTCCCCAAACTGGGTGGCTTAAAACAACAGAAATCTAGTCTGTCAGAGTTCTGAAAGGCCAGAAGTCTCAATCAAGGTGGAGGCAGGACTGTGCTCCTTCTGGGGGCTCTAGGGTCAATCTTTTCCTCGCCCCTCCCACTTTCCGGAGGCTGTTGGCATTCCTCGGCATGTGGGCCCATCCCTCTAATATCTGCCTCTGTGTTCACATTCCTTTCTTGTGTGTTTGCCTGTGTGTGTGTGTAATCTCTCTCTGCTTCTATCATGGGGACACTTGTGGTGGTCCTTCTGGGGGCTCTAGGGTCAATCTTTTCCTCGCCCCGCCCACTTTCTGGAGGCTGTTGGCATTCCTCGGCATGTGGGCCCATAATATCTGCCTCTGTGTTCACATGCCTTTCTTGTGTGTTTGCCTGTGTGTGTGTGTGTGTGTGTGTGTGTGTGTGTGTGTAATCTCTCTCTGCTTCTATCATGAGGACACTTGTGGTGGCATCTAGGGCCCACCCAGAAAATCAAGGCTATCTCTTCCTCTCAATCTTATCTTAATCACACCTGCCAGATCCTATAACATTTTCAGGTTCCAGAATTGGGGCCTGATGTCTTTGTGGTTATTATTCAGTGTAGTGTAGGGTTAAGAGTTTAGACTTTGGAGCTGGGCACAGTGGACTCAAATCCCAGTGCTGTCTCTTAGCAGCAGAATGGCCTTGGGTGAGCATCTTAACTCTCGGTGCCTCTATTTTCTGATCTGTAAAATGGGGATAAAAACAGTACCTACCTCTTTGAGTTGATAGAGGGATTGGGGGTTAATAACATGCAAAGCACCTAATAAGTATAGGATAGTGCCTGGTCCATGTAAGGATTAGCCGTTACTAATATAGTTGTTATTTTAATGAAAAATTCTTTGTAAAATGTTATTTTAACAGCTGCATAAAACTTTATGAATCTACCATAATTTATCTAATTTCCTTTTCTTGGCTATTAAGTTTATTTTTAGTTGTTTTTTAAAAAAATTTATATAGAACACTGCCATGGATACCTCTGAGGGTTCGGTTTTGTCCCCGTTTCAGATTGTTCCCTAGTGAAGTTCTGAAGATGGAGTTACAACATCAGATGGGTGGAAAGTTTTAAGCCACTTGTAAGGATATAACAAATTGCTTTCCAGAAAGATTGTGCCTGTTTCACTCCTACCAGTCGTTGGATGATAGAGTGCCCACTTTACTATGGCTATACCTGTATGGAGTATGATCATTTTAAACATTCTCAGGTGTTTTGGCTTGGTCTGCCCTTTAAGGCGGAGATGTAACAGCAAAAGAACTCAGCACAGTGGTTCCTTTAGCAAGGACTACTCGTGCCGGCAAGGCAACTTCTAACGAGAGAGTAAATCCTTGCTTTGTTAAGTCTCCAAGTGTTGTCTCTGTTCTATATGAAGCCTGGAAACTTCCTGAATGTTCTTGAGGATACAGGGAGGGGTGCTGGGGGAGAGGATGTTAGTAGCAGGGCAGTGCAAGGTACACAAGGATTTTAATGAAAAAGTTTTGTGTCTGTTTTCAGACTTGGACATGGAAAACTCTGAGTATTTTATGGGATGAGGGAGGCACTTGAACAGAAAACAGAGCAATTTAATCACTTTACAACTAAAGCCATGTGAGGGATGGGAATAGGGGTCGGGAGGGGACAGCTTCTGCACTGCCTGTCCGAGAAGGTGGGGACCAGCCCTGGGCAGGCCGAGGGCACAGACTGCATCTGCTCTTTGCACCCCTGCCACCTGTTAGCCACCTCTCTTTCTTGCCCCATTTCATGGTCTTGCCCAGCCCCGTCTCTGGGCTGTAGAGGAAAAGCAGGGTCCTAGCTGAGTAAAAGATGGGGGTGTTTTTTTCCTCAATGGTGAATTGGTTTGTGTGCACCATGTACAACTGGCCACAGAGGAGTTCAACACTATGCAAACCAGCTGTAGTGGACTAAATAGTAGCCCCAAAGATGTATCCAAATAGTGTTCTCTTATTTGGCAAGAGGGTGTATAGATATAATTAAGACAAGGATTTTGAGATGAGATCAATTTGGATTATCCAGGTAGGCCTAAATGCCATTATAAACGTCCTTATAAGAGAACAAGAGGGCGATCACACACATACACACACTCTCACACTCACACTGCAGTGAAGTGGACTTGTGATGTGGCCACCAGCCACCTGACGCTGGAAAAGGCAAGGAGCAGAGTCTCCCCAGAGCCTCTGAAGGGAGTGTGGCCCTGTGGACACTTTGATTTTGGGATTCTGGCCCCCAGAACTGTGAGAGGCTACATTGATATTGGTTTACACCACTCAGTCTGTGGTACTTTATTACAGCAACTGCAGGGAACCCATATACCAGTCTGTGCTCCATTTAATAAGACAGTTCCACTGATTGTGTACTTGGCTGTGTAGCAACATCATCCTATATACTAAAAGGCTAATAGGCAAATCAATCGAATGGTGGAATGACTGGTTGCTGTGATGCACAATGACCATCAGGGGGCAGACGCTTAATTCAGGAGCTGCCCCCTGGTGGTCAGTGCACTCCCACAGGGGGAGCGCTGCTCAGCCAGAAGCCGGGCTGATGGTTGGCGAGCGCAGTGATGGTGGCGGGAGCCTCTCCCGCTTCCATGGCAGCGTTAAGGATGTCCGACAGACAGCTTAGGCCCGCTCCTCAGAGGGAGCCGACAGTCAGACATCCCCCAAGGGCTCCCAGACTGCGAGAGGGTGCAGGCCAGGCTAAGGGACCCCCCCCCTCCGCCCCAGAGTGCACAAATTTCTTGCACCAGGCCTCTAGTATGCTATAAAAGCTTCGAAGGCTCTCCGTTTCTGTACTTGTGAACCAGCAGCAGAGTTGGAGAGTGGCACTGGTTTGCAGACCACCCTTGGAGTACCACCGGTCTCCTTCGTTTTATGAATGAGGCCCAGAGAGGAAGTGGTAGGACTGAGATTAGAGCATGGTGCCTCTGCTGCTTGCAGTGGATAGATGGGATGTGGCACCAGCCTCCTGGGGCCGGGTCTGGGGTGAGCAGACAGGAGAGCGGTCCTGCTGCCTGTTCTGTAGGCCAGCTGGTGTCCCTGTCACTGTTCTGTACCCTGCCAAGTGAGAGCAGATGCTCCAGGGAGCCTCTTAGAAGGCCCAGGAACCAGGGGAAACTTGCAAAGCCTCTGCTGCAGCTAATGAGCCAACAGCAGCAGGCGAAGGATCCTGTCAAGGGTAAAGGTCATTGCTTGCTGTCCACTTAATTTTCATTTGACTGCTTTAGTCCTGTGGTTTGGGTGTTATTTTCTGTCTGCAGTCCAATTTTAACTTTCTACATTTCCTGAATGGTAGTTATCATGTAGTGAGTGTGGGATTGAACTACAGTCATCTTGACTATTAGGCTGCTTGAATAACGTCCATCCAACTTAACTTGGCATTTAGGGCCCCCTGGAGAACCTTCTCCTTTCCAGCTCTGCCCCCCACCCTTCCCTTTCACACACCTTAATCCCTGAACTTGACCAAAATCATCACTCCAGTACAGGAGGGGACTCGAAGAGGTTAGATTCTTGAAGCCCTATAGTAAGGTCAGTTCATGGTTGACTAACTCAAGTGCTGATGGAAAACTATAGCAAGGAGATAAATCTTTAAAGATCTCAGGAAAGAAATGTTCACATTTACTAAAATAGACTCTAAAGGCAACACAAACAGCTAGTACCAGACACCAGTATCTGGTTTACCATCCAGCACAGTTGAATCACCAGGTGATTGTAACTAGGCAAGAGCAGAAGAAAAACCAACCTGCTGAGCCCAGCACTCATTGCTGACCTACTAAACCATGAGCAAATAAAATACTCATTATTTAAGACAAAGAAAAAAAAGGGCAGCACAATGAATCAAGACTGGGTTATTACACTTCTTATTTTAGTAACAATGGGCATTGTATAGTTACTCAATTATTCCTTGCTTACTGTGGGCACTTTTCAGTCACCTTTTTGTGTTTTCAATGAAATTTTTATTTATTTTGTTTTGTTATGGATAACGCCCATATTAGGAGTCCCTTTTCTCCAGTATCTGGGCTTCCATCTTAATATTAAACACTGCTGGGATTTTATGAATTATTTATTGGGTCTGTTCTCTGGGCCTCTTTCTTTCCTGTCAGATATCAAGGGACAGTAATTCAGAGGCCCGGGTCACTCTCTCATCTTTTATTTTTTCCAAGGCTTTGTTTCAGAAGCCTTTTTTCTTAACCCTCTACTTTTTTTTTCTTTTTCTAGTCTGAACCCTGGATCTCTTGTTTTTAAATCAGTGATTTTTGGTTGCAGGGAAAAGCGATGCCGTGGCACCAGCTTAGGTTAGTAGAGGGTTTGTTGTAGGAATGTTGGGAGTTGTAGAGAGCAAAGCTTGACCACCTGCTGGGAGCTGGAGCAGGAAGGCCCCTCTTACTCAGGACTGCGCGGTCCTGCTCATCTCGTGTGTGTGTGTGTGTGTGTGTGTGTGTGTGTGTGTGTGTGTGTGGCGTGGCGTGTCTGTTTCCCTGAATCAGGGCTCACTACTGTGTGCCTAAGTTTGCAAGTCTTTATTCTCAAAGGGTGTGTGTGTGTGTGTGTGTGTGTGTGTGTGTCATGTCTGTTTCCCTGAATCAGGGCTCACTGCTGTGTGCCTAAGTTTGCAAGTCTTTATTCTCAAAAAAGGGAAGGGGGCAGTGCGGCTGATGGTGATATGTCCATCCCCCAACTCGATCAATTGGGGGAGGGGAGCCATGTGATCGCCCTCTCAGAACGGACTTGGGGGATGTCCCAAAAATAGGGTGTGTGGAAGGGTAGCCCTCCAAACCTATTAAACCTCTTCTGATTTCTCAACAGGAATAACTCAAGTCACCTCTGCTGGAAATCGGTTTGCTGAAACTACTGAAACAGCAATTCTTGAAGTTGAAGAAAAGGTAAGGAGACGTAAATTCATATCTACTCAGGTTCTCTTCTCAGGGAAACACACGTGTGGGGAGGGAATCCTATCCCAGTCATTCCTCAGACATGCCTGATTCTGGATGTCATATTTCACCCCTCCTCTCTGCCTGGCACGTCCCTCCATCCCTCAGGGCCTTTCTCAAATGCTACCTCCCTGGAAATGAAGGCTCTTTGGTTCCTTCCTGCTGGCAGTGATTCCTCCTGCCTTTGAAACACCATAATATTGTCTCCTTCTTACCGACATGTATTGTATGGCCTCACGTTTTCTTTGTGCCCCTCCTCTGACTGCTCTTCTCCCACAGCTGTGCTGAGTGTGGGGGCTCCTCCTCTGTGACCTCCCCATCCTGGCATTTCCAACTTGATTATAGTTGCCTGTTTGTGTGTTTTTCCAGTGAGCTCCTCGGGGGCAGACCTGAATTGTGCCTGGGACGTAGTAGATGCTCCATAAACGTTTATTGAGCAAACAGTGAATCGGCCTCCTGCCAGCTAGACTGTCAGCTCCTGTGTGGGCTCCCTTTGTACCTCCACCTCTCCACTCGTTCTCACGTTGGTTCTGTTCTTTGAACTTTCATCAGAAATTGCTAATCTTCTCTAGTTTTCCTTTGTGTTTTGACTATTGGTGAAATGAAGCTCAGAGGAAAGCTTTTGTATCTGATTTTTCTTTTTCACGGGCAATTTGAGCCCATGTTCAGAGCCATAATCCAGCAGCTGGAAGGGAAGGGAGGTGACAGGCAGGTCAGGAAACCAGTGACCGCAGGAGCCTGGCTCCCCGCCTGCCTCCACCTCCCTGTAGCTGGTGGTGAATGGGCCTTGCGCGAGGTTGGGGTTTGGTCCTCTTATCTGCCGGCATCCATCCATCCGTATGCTCTTCAAGCTGCTTTAATCAATGGACGATTGCATTTTAACCCACTTCCTTGCTCCGAACATTTTTGCATAAATGAATGTGTCAGCAGTTTCCTAATTTCAGACTGTTTACTGCGCTTGTTAAGTGTCCCAGAGACATTCCTTACCAATTCTACTAGTTTTCTCGGTTACCATCGTCTTTGAGGACTTGTCCCAGCCTTTCCTACCTAACAGTAACCAGCGGTTGTCTCTCATAGCTGTAGAGTTCTTCCCCTTTTACAGGGGCTTCTACACACATCACCGGATCTTTTCCCACCAGTCCTAGCCAGCAGGCAGGACAAATGGTCACTTCTCGTGTTCAGGCAGGAAACGGACTCAGCAGCTCAGTGTCTTACGTGAGGTCACGTCATCAGTGTGAATGGAGTTGGGTATTTCTGTCCTCTGCACCATCTTACCATCTTGGTCCTTCTCCGTGGAAGCCCCCGCTGCCGTCACAGAACCTGACTCTGTCTCTCACCTGTCTCTTACTCACCCTCACTGTTCCTTTTGGGGAGGGGAGCCTGGATCTGTTGGGAGATGCAGTCTGACCCTGGTGTCGCCCCGAACCCCAGCCAGGCTGCTTTCTTGAGAAAGTAGACGTCTGTGGATATCTTGCTCCCAAGACCTTCTAGTCAGTCTGGTAAGTTTTATTTTTGGTAGGGCTCACTGAAACGCAGGAAGCTTAATGAATTTACGTTAATGCTGCCCTGTGTTACTCTATGAGTGAACGGGAAGACGCTAAGAGAGGCTTGATCAGCTTAATCTGGCTGTATCTCATGATGTTCTTTCCCTCCCTTCTCCTTTCAGTCATTGCAAATGGTCCCATCAATCAAGGCGGCAGCTCACTGCTCTATGGCCATGTGGGATTGTTTAGTTAATTGTGACTTTATAAAAATGGCTCAACGTTTAATTAGAAAGCAGATTGTCGAATGACATTTTGGTTTGTCCTCTGATGGGGGAATTGGAAACTAGGCTTTGTCATGATAGGAGACAGGCTCTGGTACAGAAGGAGGCGTATTAACTGAGAGCAGCATGGGATTGCAGTGAGTCATTGTTTTCCTACAACAGGCCGCCTTCTCTGGGCTTTTTGTGGAGAGAGACCTCCCTCTGCATCTGATGCCACCTTAGATTTTCCTAGGGGAGACTCTAACTTGGAACCCCCAAACAGGGTGGTACTTGAAATGGTGTACTTATCAGGGTGCAGGACTAGATACCAAGAACCTACTGGCGCTACTTAAAAACATCAGTATCAAGAAATCAGCAAACCTATTATGATGCTTGTAATTGAAGAAAATAGCTTACATTTTTTATTTGCAATTGCGGTGTGATGCAAATAGCATTTTACTGTGAAAAGTTATTGTTTCTATTGTTTCTTAGCCCCAAAGCTGGTATCTGCATTACTACTGAGGGCCATCATAGAGGCGGCCTGCGCGTGTCCTGGTTGAGTTTGGTCCCATATGCTCCTCATGTGTACCTCCCCTTGGCTGGCATACAGGTGGACATTGGAACACCATGAGAGGAGGTCAGGAAGGGCCACCAGTAAGAATGGCCCCAGGAATCCACCCCTCCACATGTCACCTCTGTAGTATGTAGCACTTTTATACCTTTTATATCAGTTAGAAAACTTATATATCTCATGGGCATCTCAAGCTTAATGAGTCTAAATCAGGGGTGGGCAAACTTTTTGACTCGAGGGCCACAATGGGTTCTTAAACTGGACCGGAGGGCCGGAACAAAAGCATGGATGGAGTGTTTGTGTGAACTAATATAAATTCAAAGTAAACATCATTACATAAAAGGCTACGGTCTTTTTTTTTTTTTTAGTTTTATTCATTTCAAACGGGCCGGATCCGGCCTGTGGGCCGTAGTTTGCCCACGGCTGGTCTAAATATTTACTCTTGGTTCCTCCTACCACAACCTCTTTCCAGACACCCCCCACCCCCAATCTCATTAAGGTGCACAGCTGTTAACTTGTTTTTTCAAGCCAGAAACTGGGGAGTCACTCACCCTTCTCTTCCTCCAAATCACCAAGTCCTAGGGATGCTTCTGAAATGCGTCTGCTGCCCTCCACATCGACCTCCCAAGTCCGACAGAGTCATTGCCTCGGTGACCACAAAGGCCTCTGAGCTGGCTGCCCTGCTTCCTCTTTCCCTCCATTCCGTTCAGCACTTTGGACCCAGAGAGATCTCTACAAGTACTTGGCACATCATTTCACCCCCTTTGTTAACCCTGGTAGTGACCACCTCCTGCTCTTGGACAAATCCCCTACTCTCAGCATGGCCCATGGAGAGACGGCACCGTCTGGGGCCCAAACCTGGCTGGAGGTCCCACAGCACTGTTGACATCACACTGAAGTGGCTTGTAAGATTTTCTCCCTTTCACTGTGGACTTCCTGGGCAGATAGCAATGGCTTTCATTTTCCAAATGCAGTAGAATAACTGCTCACGAAGGTATACTTAGAATGGATGTTGTGTCCTGGGAAATAGTACAGGGAGTGATTTCTTCCTCCAAACCCCAGAATATCAACTCTTACAACACAAAGGTGGACCACTATTTCATTTGGATCATGAATAAGTGAATAACCAATATGTAATCAACTAAAATTATAACACCCTTGCGACTTTCCAAGTAGCACTCTCCACGAAATATTTTGATATAAAAATGTGTGCAGTATTTTAGCTTAGGCAATCATGAATAAAACTTGCTCCAGGCTGGTAGAAGAAAAGACCGATTTCAACAGGGGAAATAAGAAACACACTAAATATTAGTACACAGCTTTCCTTTTTAGACACATATCTCCTATCCTGAAACCTATTTGCTTTCCTTATTTACTCTTGAGCTATTCTTTTGTGTGTTTGTGGAGCGATGTATACACAAATACACACCTGAAACAGAAGTTCTTAGTTGAGTGATGCTTCCCATTCTCCTCAGGCCTTTCATTCAAGGTAATGAATGGGAATACTGAGTTTTCAGCTTTATTTTTGACGGCCTCAAAGTAAGACAACTTTTCTATGACCTTGAATTAGAAACTTTTTATGCTACCGGTTTGGTGGGTCACTCTGATGAGTTACAAGCCAAGACTGTAGTGGGAATACCAGGCAGGGTGATCTTAATACAGCGTGACACGCACTGTGGTGGAGTTAGTCATAGAGCAGAGGGATGACTACCGGTTTGGTGGGTCACTCTGATGAGTTACAAGCCGAGACTGTAGTGGGAATACCAGGCAGGGTGATCTTTTAATACAGCGTGACACGCACTGTGGTGGAGTTAGCCATAGAGCAGAGGGATGGAACTTCACTCACTTTGGGGAGTGGGAAGTCATGAAATGCTTCTAAGGCATGTGACCTTTGAGATAGGTCTTGAATGAAGAGCTTGCTAAGTGGAAGGAGTGACTGGGAGAAAGAGGTAGAACAGGGCATTTCAGAGAGCTACACGGACAGAGGCTGGGAGTCAGCAGGAGCGTGCTGTGCCTAGATTGCTGCCTGGAGGGCTGCTGTGACCACACCACGGAAGGTGGGGTGGGGTGGGGGCTGGAGGGCAGGCAGAGCCAGATGGTCCAGCGAACGCCCCTGTGAAATGTTCCCCTGGGTCGTCACTGGATCTGATTTGTCTTTTACGGCAGGGGTCCTGTAGGCTCGGTCTCTACTTTTAAGGCTTCTCCCAAATGGCAGGAGAATGGTGATCTGATTCTGACACGCAAGTTCTTTTATCAGTTTCTATGGGTGTGAGACTCAAAATTCCACAGACTTCCAGGTTCAAGGTATGACTGCGGGCCACCTACCAGTAATTACAGAGACGTTATTACAAGTTCCTGAAATGTGATTGGTGATAAATGACTGCCCTGTTGGAGTGTATGGATGACCGTGTTCCATATTTCACTGGGAGTTCAGCTGCCTCGCCTGGCTCAGCAGTGTGTGTTTCAGGGTCCTATGGAGCACAGGCCCTTGGGGTTCCTGGGGATCAGAAACAGTGCTCTAATGCCATCTTGAATTTGTGACAATTTTTTATTGCTAAGAATCCAGATATTTAATTGTCAGTAACTGTTAGCTTGGCTTTCTAATGATCAGTTTAGCATGGTTTGGTTGGTTGTTAA